TATAATGCAATGTCTGAATTTCCTTCAGATTTGTATCAAGCCTGGCAGCTCTTTCAGTTCTACCATTAAATGTAGTAGTTCTCAGGTAGCTAAACTAGGCCTACTTGAACTCGTAGGGAGCCCCACGAGCACTTGAATGGGCTGGCGCACAGCTCCAGTGTGTGCTTGGTTGGTCCATGCTCCTCATCTGGTGCACAAGGCTGACCCCATGTGCTGTATCTGGCTCACATGTTGGAAGGGTCAAGCCCCATGGGTATAGTACGTTTTATGTGGTTATCTTTTGTTAAACAAATTTATCATCTCGGAGAACATGGCGGGTTTCGTTTTGAGGCCCATTTCCATAAAAATGATTGCCTTGGCCCTGCCAGCTGTAAGTTTTCCTTGATGTCTCTTAACTTCCATTATCTGTTTTCTACGTGTCTAACTTTGATTACTGTATCTTTCCTTTTTCCCGTATTTGTTATATATTACTAATTTCTACCTTCACCAATGAACCTGCATGGGGTCTTAGACAAAATTGTTCTTCAATAATGTAGAACAGTGATGTTTCCTAAATTTAAAACTTGTCTTTAAAGAACATCGGTTTTCTTTCATTTTTTCTATTTTTTTTTTTTTTTCCCTCTTGATCAGTTTGACTCAGTGCTTTAGGAAAATAGTCTTTTGAAGGGGGTGTGTCTCTGTGTGGGTTGGATTGGCTTTGGACAGGACCATCCTCTTCGTGACTATTGAATGTAATGGGGTCATGATCGTTGCTCCTCAGGCTAAGTTCTAATTCAGTGATGAATTTATTAGAAGGGACCTCAGTGTTTTGCTTTGCTTTAAAATTTTGAGAATGTCTGCAAGTGTAAGGACTAGAACAAGTTAGTTTTTTAAGGAAAGTGTTAAAGGAAAGAAAAAGAGTTACCATGATACCCTGGCACCTGTTTGTGACCCCTTTTCTTAACACAGCATTAAGCATACATGAATGACCTTTTGAAAGTACTGCAGGTACATCCAAGTGTTGTGTGTTTGATGGGAGGGGGTGTGTGTGTGTGTGTGTGTGCGCGCATGCGCACACATGGAGGGAGAGAGAGAAAAGAATGAGAAACTTTTTAGAAAATGTTCTGAAGCCATCAGTTTTTGTTGGTTTGTGCTATCTGTAGGCCCTGACCAGTGATGAGTATTCGTATGGAGGTCTAGCCCACTTTGTGGCTTCTGTTTCCTCTCCCTCCTACTTGCACTTCTGAGCCTGTTCCGATCTCAGGGAAAATACCGTAGACTGGGGTGCTCAACCTCTGACCTGTGGAGCCATTGCATCTGACCCATGGGGCTCTCCACGGGTTGGGAAATTTGGCAGCACAGGAGCAGTTACCCTTCCCCATTGCCAAATTCTCATGCCCCCTCTCATAGCACAACCAGATTGGGGCCAGGCCATGCTGCTGGGACCACATCCCCTTCCCCCTGCCCAGATGAATCAGGGCCGAGTCACACCCCTTTCTTCCCAGGGGCCAGATTAGAAATGAGTTACTCTTCTTCCCCCCCCCCCCCCCCCCCCCTTTTTTCCT